ATCCTGGGGGGCAGTTAGGGGCAGGGGGTGATCAGGGGACAGGGAGCAGGGGGGGTTGGATGGGTTGGGGTTTCTGTGGGGGGCAGTCAGAGGGAGTGGATGGTGGCAGGGTGGGGCTACCCTCCCTCCCCGTGGAGTGTCCTATTATTTGAATGTTAAAATATGGTATCCCTACCTTCCCAGTGCAGCATGAGGTCTCAGCTTCCTCACTCCCTCCCCCTCTTTCCTGTTGGTAGTGGCCAAGGGAATGCTGGGAAATGTAGTTCTTTCCCTGCTCCAGGGCTGGCTCTATAGGCAGGGAGCTAACCAAGGAACTACAGCTCCCAGGGCTCCCTGTTGGTTCTCAGCTCCCATGCTGGATCCCTGCCGCCCCTGCAAATGGGCTGCCCCAAGCACGTGCTTGCTTTGCTGGTGCCTAGAGCCGCCCCTGCATACAGGGCTACCTACTGCTAAGAAGCTAAAAGAAATGGCTTGTTCTGTCAGTTGTCTTCTGTTCAAGCCCTCCAAGCAGCAGTTTGGTGCACTGAAGACCGTGCCAATTCTGTGTCCTGTCTCTTGGGAGAGGACGTGTGTATTCCACTTTTGTGCCATTCAGATCCTGGATTGCTGAAACTGTCCCCAGCATAAGTTAAAATAGCCATCCAAGCTGCTCTAATTTATGTCAGCCTGTCTGACTGCCTATGTGATACACAGCAGTACAGAACCTCCACAGCACCGAGTGGGACGGCTGCTCTTTCTCCTGCCCCTGAAATGCACCCTCCTGGCTCTGGTTTCACCCCACCATGCTCTTGAGAGGGGGCATCTAGAGCTGCTTATATCACCCTCGTGGCTCATTTATGTTCTTTCTGTGTCTTTGGATCAGGTTCTAGAATCAGCTCCATATGCTCCTCGGGCTGTTTCTTTACAGTTCCACAAACAGACCAGTCCCAGCCCTGCTTTGCTTAGCACACCAAATGATATCAACTCAGACCAGTAAAGTCCTAGGTACACATACTCAGGTGGGGTTAGTGGCCTGTGATATACAGGAGATCGGACTGGATGATGTGGTGGCCCCATCTTGCCTTAATCTCTCGGACTCTACGCCAATGGTGCCATGCTGATTTACACCAGCTGAGGATCTGGCCTGTACAGTACAAAGCATCCAGTTGCTGCCTCTCCAATTGCAACTTATGGCAACACCCATAATATATGAAGCCCAGAATAGATTTATAAATACGTCACTCAGGTTTGGAGTTTTGCCATTGGCTTAGAATATTTGTATAAAGCTGTTGTGTAGGGGACATGCTGCAAAGCTAAAGGGCCTACTGTAAGGAAAATGTTTAGGCTCTCTCAGCATATACATATGCTAAGAGCCTAAACATAATATGCTATTATAGTTCCATCAAATGGGTTCCAGACTATACCTCATCTGACTGTAGAGTCAACCACAATAACCAGCAGCTCTGAGACTGTTACCGCAACCACAGGCAGAGACATTTGGAACATCACACGTTGCGTGTTTTAAATCAATAAGGGAAACAGTTTGAACATTCATACTCAAATTTCCTCCCTAAACACAAACTCATGTTTGCCCCATACGTGCAAGCCCAGTGTGAAGCTCTACACAAAATGTTTCTTGAGTTATCCAAGTTCAGGAAGCATCTGAGTAACTTTCTTAATAGTTCTGATTGTTTAATAGTATCTGAACACATTTTCTTTCATTTCAAAAGGAAACAAATTCAACTCTGGACTAAGACCGAGCATGAGACGTTCCAGGCTGAATTCTGGGGGAAATTACTCATGACTGAAATGGGTAAGAATGAGAGAATCATTTCAGCCTTAATAGTAGGTGTCCTAGTTCAGGATAATTGCACCTGTATTCTCCCTCCGCAGTCCCACCAAGACCACTCACTGCTAGGCTTTTGGCTCCCAAGTGTCACCTGTTCTGGGTGGAGACCCTCTCTCCCTCCTAACCAGAGTTTTTACAGTTCCCTGCCTACACTGTTATTCCCAGAAAGCCAGGTTGCCTAAAGAGGTCAGCCTCTACGCTTCATAGCTTCTGAAGAGAAAGTAAACAATATCATTGCCCCTAAGTTACAGCATTTTCGAAGCAAGCACATTTATTCTTAAGGTGAAAGAATTACATTTTAAAATCAATAACAATGTACACCCATGCTAATAAAGGGTCTGGTAGAAGTCAGTCCTTCAAAGACCATAAAAGTGTTTTTCTGACATTACAAGTTCATAACAGCTTTAGCTTAGAACGCACCCATAGATGAGTTAGCCTTCCCTTTATATCGGCCTTTGATCGTTAGATTCCAGAAAAAGGCAAGCAGTAGATAATGCTCCTTTCCTCATGGTGCAGCTTCAAAAGGCTGGGTTTTGGCATAAGCGGAGGTGGGAATTTGCATGCACCTCCCCCTAGAGATTCCCCAGGGAAACTGTTTGCACAAAAGTTCATTCTTGGCTGGCCCCACTGTTCAATATAGTCCTTTAAAGTTCATAGCACTTCCCTGGGCTCTCAATAATACATAACCTTTGCATTTAACACAATGGACTCCAACGATACTTAAACTTAATTCAATAAGGTTTTTAAAGGAAACTGCTATATCAGTCACAATAGGATTGATATTGTGATGCTCACATTTAAAAAATGTGGATTTTTTGCATACTAACCATCTTCCATGAATTACTGCAGAGTCAACAAATTCTAGTTATTGTGTTCCTCCAGGGGGATTTTTAATGCCAGTTGTAATGACAGATTATATGAAACAGCTGGTCAAATAGAACGAGGAACCAGTTAGTTGGCATTTGATGAAATAATAAAAACAGACACCATGCAAACTTTGGCAGTACCAAGCAATCCTCAAGAAGTCTGGACACAAAAAAGAAATGGACTGGAATCTGATCACTGCAGCTGTGTAGGTTTTCAGGTAAGGGTCAGCTATTTCATGGCATGACAATCATTTGAAAGATGCTTAAGAGGTTCCCACTACAATGAAAGTGCATTCATTACAATAAATACGGAAATTCCAAATGACAGAAATACACCAGCTGTGTTTACATTAAACAGAAGTCTCCACTAGCTACTCTGGGGCAAAAAAGGGCTTGTAAACCTGGTGCCAGCACAGGGCCAGAAGAAGTGGCTTGTACCTCCTCTGCGCAAAAGCTGACGGGGGCTGGGTAGTTCTGAGGACAACTGTACTATGTGGTGTTGCTGCAATGACACCAGGGAAAGGAGGAAGTGCAATGTGACTAGCGATATGAAGAGCTGCAGCAAGGCGTGCCTCATGCTCGCTCTGCAAGCTGTGCTGAGAACTTCTCAACTTTCCAGTGTGATATGTAATCAGACTGTCCCAGGAAAAACATAGAGCCTGTTTATTCTGGCTGCGCTCTGTGTGGTGCAGGAAGAGGGGTAGGTCTGGTTCTGGGTGAGAAGTGCCTTTAAAAGCCACCTTGGTGCTTCCCCTGTTCTTGGCCCCTTACAGAAACCTGTCCTCCCCTCACTGTGAGGCCTGGTCTACACTGGGGAGGGGGGGGAGGAGGATCGATCTAAGATACACAACTTCAGCTATGAGAATAGCGTAGCTGAAGTCGACGTATCTTAGATCGACTTAGAATCCCTTACTTCGCATCCTTGCAGCGCGGGATCGACGGCCGCTGCTCCCCCGTCAACTTTGCTTCTGCCTCTCGCCAAGCTGGAGTTCAGCAGTCGACGGGAGAGCGATCTGGGATCGATTTATCACATCTACGCTACACACGATAAATCGATCCGGCAGGTAGTGTAGACGTACCCTAAGTAACAGCTGCCTCAGGGGGCAACTCTAATTTACTAGCAGCTGCAACAGACAACTAGGGGTTGTTCAAGCAGCTGAAAATAGCTTGAATACCCACCTCCTGGAATACCCCCAGCTCCGTGCCTTTTGGGGGAACCCCTTATGTCAGAAGGTTCTGTCATGTAGAACGCCTACAGGTAAATAGATTTTTGTCATGTATATCTGTAGAGGGGTCATGACATAACAGAAAATAAGGCCTCACATCACCCCTGTGAAGTAGGTACAGTATTATCTTTTCCACATTAGTAATGAGTAAAGCGAGACCAAAAGAAGTTAAGGGGCTTGCCCAAAGTCTCACATCATGTAAGTAGCAGAGCCTCAAACTCTTGGCACCTTTGAATGCGATCAAGCAGAACTCTCAACTCATTTTGATGGTAATGACTTTCACTAATGACCTGGATGGATGTCCCAGTAGTAAAAGGCTCCATGTGCCATTACCAAACACCCGAGTAACTTAGGGCCATCCCTCTCCCCCCAAGAGTTCTAAACCATACTTACAACAGGGCTTAGCCAAGCTACAATTTTTTTTCCTTAGTAAAACATTTTTAAAATTTTTCACTGGATAAAACAGACTTAAATTTCACTTGGGCCTCATTTAGACATATCATGCTGTGTTAGGCGTGATTGACCTACAGTGTTCTAGCTGATGGAACTCAAATGTTATGTTCATTTCTCAATGTCTATTTATCTTTTTAGGATAATATTCTTATACAAATCATTACTTGTCTGTGGAGTCCAAACTCAGTTAACAATAAACTCTCAGTTGACATACCTTCAATATTTGCTTTTCGCAAGCAAGCCTTATAAACTTTCCATAGTCCAAAATGGGAATAGGTAAAATAAGGCTGAACAAAGGTTGTGGGTGGAAACCCAAGTACTCAGTCACCATGAGGAATGCCAATCAAAGAGTTTTCCATTGGGGGTTAGAAGAAGTTATGAAGTAGGAAGAGCTGAACAACAGTCAAATATTTCAGGCCTTGAGTCTTTTCAAATTTTATTTTAACACAGTAAATTGGAAACAGGGAAAATATTAATTTTTTTAAGCATGTGATCTGATATGTACCCTTGTAATCAAATTGCAGCTCCACGCCTTTCAGTTTTACTACAGAAATGTGAACTTAATACTATGCCTACAATTAAAAAAAAATAGTGAGTTTCTAGTATTGTATAAGGAATTGCTTAATCGGAATGCAGAGCTACACAAATCATTTTTAAGTATAGTAACTCTAAGACAAATATTGACCTTAGTTAAAAAGATTGTTATGACTTGTGTTAAAGAAGCCCATCCAAAGATCACCACACATAATTCTACTCATTAGTAGGTGCAGAGAAAAATGGGATGATTAGAAACACAGCAATGAACTGACACAGATGTTGCAGTGCTTTGGAAAATATATTTTAAATTATGCCATCTGTAGAGTCATGGTAAGTCTAATAAAAATAATGAGAAGCAAGCAGATAAACTATGATTCCTGAGGCTCTCACATTAGGAGATGTATCTGAAATGTAAATAAGTACAGCAAAGCCACATGTGCTACAGACATCTATTCCTCATTAAATTAAATTGTCTTGGACATTAGTATTAACATATGGAGCATACAAGGAGGTGTCTACGCTAGCCTTTATTTTCTAAATTTTCCTGCCAGTGGTAGCAACAGTGGAAGGGAAAATTTTCAAAGGCTCAACAGGGAGGTTAGCTGCCTAACTGCCAAGGAAGCCAGTAGGGCTTAGGCACCTAGCTAACAGTTGTTCCTTTGAAAATCTCCCCTGGGAGTATTAGTGTACATAGACACCAGTGTTTTGACTACCATTTTTTCTCACCCTGATCATATTAGTTCTAAATGGCATGGTGGTTAAAACACCAGTGACTGCTAATACCTATAACCATAGAGTTGTAGTGAAGAGAAGTATGTGATAGGATTCCTTTGATCAGACCATTCATAGCATGATCAGTGTTTCCCCTTTATCAAAACATTTGTGAGGGGAAAAAAGTGTTTAATTAGTCACGAATACATATATGACCCTAGGAGCCCCTTTATGCTAATTGGTAAAGGGCACATTCAACACACTCTCAGAATATTTAGCCGAAGAACGACGTTTAAGGCACCATATAAAAACTGGGGACATAGAACCATAGAGTTAACAGGGACGGCAAGAGTCATCTAGTCTAACCCACTGCCAAGATGCAGGATTTGTTGTATCTAACCCATCCAAGACAGATGGCTATCAAGCCTCCTTTCGAAAACTTCCAGTGAAGGCAATTCCACAGCCTCCCTAGGCACCTTTTCCATTGTCCTACTGTTCTTACTGTCAGGAAGTATTTCCTTAGATTTAATCTAAATCTGCTATGATGCCATTTGAATCCATTGCCTCTTACCCTGCCTGCAGAGAGAACAATTTTTCTCCATCTTTTTTATGGCAGCCTGGCAAATATTTGGAGACAACTACTATGTTCCCCCCTTAATCGCCTCTTTTCCAAACTAAACATACCCAGTTCCTTCAGCCTTTGCTCATATGGCTTGCATTCCATCCCTTTGATCATCTTTGTTGCTCGTCTCTGGATCCTTTCTAGTTTCTCTACGTCCTTTCTATACAGTGGTGACCAAAATTGGACATAATACAACTCTACTCACCTGGCGTACTATCACCTCACATGACTTGCATGCTACGCCTCTGTTAATGCAACCCAAAATTGCATTTACCTTTTTTGCAACAGCATCACACTGTTGACTCATTGTGACACTCCGTACCTCAAAGTAGCACCCTGGAACCGCCATATTCACCACTGTCATATAATTATAATATGTTTTGTACAAACCATGCCTTATGATATATCATTTTAAAAGTCTTGATCTGTTGAATATTAATATCCAGTTGAATTGTATGTACTATCATTGTATGTGAAGTTATGAAGTATTGCTATGTGTGTGTGACTGAAATATGTTGTGAAGTTAGGAACGCCCACAACCGGCCTTTCAGTTACAACAAAGGAATAGCCATCACTAGCCTGCTGGGCATTCATGGTGTCATCAACACTGAATCCCCTAGCCCAGAGGCTTCGTGGAGAAGTCCTGTACACCATGGGGGCAGGCTAACCCACATCACAGCAAGAATCTTTCTAGCAGCTAGAAGAAAGTATAAAAGAGTGAAAGTGACATTATCACTTGGCCTCTCCTCCCATCCCCATCTCCACATCTGGAAAAACGTCTGGAAGACAAAGACTTAAAACTGGGGAAGTTTGGTCCCAGGCTGAAAGATGGTCCAGTCTGTGTACTGAGGAACTGTAACCTGCTTGTACCATCTGACAGAGTGGGACACTGCTTGATTCAAATCTTGCTTAGTCTGTTTAAGTTAGAATTAGACTGCAAATGTATTTTTGTTTCTTAGGTAACCAGCTTTGATCTCTATGCCTGCTACTTATAATCACTTAAAATCTTTCTGTATTTAATAAATCTGTTTTATATTTTACCTAAAACAGTGTGTTTTGGTTGAAGTGCTTGGAAAATCTCAGCTCAGACCTCAAAGGCTAGTGTATGTCCATTCTACACTGAGGGAGTGGTGAACTTATTAATGAGTTTGCACTGTCCAAGGGAAACCTGAGCAGTGCAAGATGGCACAGTTCTGGGGTGCCAGGCTGGGGAGCTGAGGGGAATTGGCTGGAGCCTCTCTATTGATGGTTCATGAGTGGCTGGGAGATCATTCACACAACTCAGTTGGGAGTGTCCCGGCCTGTGGATGGCTGTGTATGTGCAGTGCCTGTCAGAGGGGAGGGAGGGAGGGAGGTCCGGGGGTGGTCAGGGGACAGACAGCAGGGGGGTGGCTGGGGCAGAGGGTCTCAGGGGGCCATCAGGGGGTGAGAAGCAGGGGGTCAGATAGGGGGTGGGGGCCTGGCTGTCTGGGGAGGCACAGCCTCCCCTAACTGGCCCTCCATACAATTTCTGAAACCCGATGTGGTCCTCAGGCCAAAAAGTTTGCCCTGTGGTAGCTTGATGTAACTGAGAAAGCTGTTTGACAAGCTACAATCTTTGCCTAAAGTTAACTCCTGGACCCTAGAAAGTGTGTTTTGTTTTGTTTGTAACCCTTTTCTGTTTGTCATCTCTGCTTCATATCACTTAAATCTCTGTTCTTTATTAATAAACTTATTCTTAGTTAAACCATCTCAGCGTTGTGTATTAAAGTAAAGAATGTGCCCTTGATGAGCCAACAGGCTGGGATGAATTCTGTCTCTTTGGAGACAGCATTCTTAATTTCTGTGAGTATCCAGTGAGAGATGTACCCTGGATTGTGAAGAGAAATGTCTCTGGTGAACTCAGGCATTGGGGTTCACTGAGTATTACCTGCAAGGCAAGGTTTAGACTGGCAGAGTCTTGAGGAGTTTGCTGGGAAGGCGGACAGACTGGGGTGGCAGGGAGCTGACACATAGTTTAAGCTCCAGCAAAGCCCTCTTGCTGAGGCAGAGAGGTAACACAGCGGCTTGCAGTTCTGGGCTTCCCAAAAGAGCGGCACAACAGAATACATGTAACGCAATGGGTTCCTCTTGTTAAACATCCATGTGTCTGGCTGGGTGGTCCTGTAGCACTAACCCTTACTTCCTGGGCCAGCTGAGTTTAGTGGGGGCACCTTGTTTAGCCTGTGAGGGCAGGGGAATGGGAATCTCTCATCTGAATCTCTCAGCTGACATCTCTGTAGCCAATGCAAGAAGTGGCAGTGACTGAAAATGTAGTGAAAGATAATATATCTA